GTCGGCCGATGAGCAATTCCGTTGCCATCCGGACACTCTCCCATGATGCCAATGTTTACGCATGGCCGCACACGCCGCGCACGACTAAAAGTATTCTAATTAAAAACTGTAGCTTTGCAGATTGCAGCTGCGGGCGTCTCGCCAAAACTGGGTTAGGAATTGGCCGAAAAAGATGATGCGCTTTTTGAGCGCGTTAATAAGCGTTTTCCCGGGCTACCACTACTGAGCAATGCGCAGTCTCGGGGGGGGGGGAGGGCGAATTGAGCAAAAAGGTCATGTCGGCTGACGAGCGATTTACACATCGCATCACGAACGCTCCCCAACAATGACATTATGTGTGCATGTTGGCAGCCAGCGAACAAAACTCAAAGTATTTTATATTGCAAGGTACAATGCTGCAACTCGCCGCTGCAGCCGTCTCGCTAGAACTGCGTTGAAAGATCGACCGAAACAAACAGATGACGTCATTGAAAAAAAGCTGATATACTGGCAGCTAGCAGCCCTAATAGCAGCCCCAGCCCATTCTTTAGCCCCAGCGGCGCTAAAGAATGCACGGGGATAGCTGTCATTGCGCGTGCTTATAATTGTTTCTTGGACAACTGCATGCCAACCATCGCGCTACTTGGCAATGCAGCATTTCAGGGTCATTGAAATAACAAAAGTCATATCGGCTGATGAGCAATCTACATATCCGCCTGAATGCTCTTCCACAATTACATCGTGTGCATATGGTCGTACGCACGACCAGTACACGACCAGAATTATACCAAATTCCAAGTCGTAACTTTACACGTCGGCGCTGCGGCCATCTCACCAACGCTGAGCCGCAACATTGAGCAACTGAAATAGATAACGTCATCAAAAAATGGGCAGATGATTGCACTTAGCCTCCCCGAGAGATGGTCGGTCCACCTCCTCTGACTCTGGTTGATGATTGGTCACCACTGCGCCACACTTACACGCCGCGTCCGTCAGCGGCCGTCACCGAGCAGGCGGCTGAACAGCGTGGCTCAAAATTCAGACACGTTTTAAGCATGCATGGTTAAACGCTACAACCACACCTTACCACGCACGGTCAACTGATCTGCCGCAGCTGACCACTCATCGACCCCGCGTCGGTGACCGATCGCCGACAGGATCAGCGAGCCCCTCTATGTCTGCCGGCAGGATCAGCGAACCACTCGATGTCTGCCGGCAGGATCAGCGAACCCCTCGGTGTCTGCCGACAAGATCAGCGAGTCCCTCGATGTCTGCCGACAAGATCAGTGAGCCTCTCAATGTCTACCGACAGATCCGCGAGTTCCTCGATGTCTGCCGACAGTATCAGCGGGCCCCTCGATGCCTGTCGGCGGCTGGCGGCGGAAACACAGCAACGGAACTGTGGTGACCGAACTGACGGAAAGAGAATGGACCCACCACGCAAGTCTAACTTTTCTTCGCTTAGAAAGAGGGAAAATTGTAGGTTTCAAACAAGCACCTTGCCAACCCGATCCACTACTGAGCTTCACTTAAAGCCGTCACGCTACGTCCTAAAACACTGTGATAATGAAGATCGTTACCACGTACCCACGTCCTAAGGACTAGAACTTCGCACAATCATCACTTGTGACAGGGAGGCCTCTGGCGAAACGGGAGATACCAAATGTATCAGGGAGTATGTCCTTAAAGACAATCGATCAACAAATATTGTTTAATATGCCCTTGTTATCTGTTCAGACCGTGTCCATTCCATTTTATGGCGGCTCGCCGTCTCGGATTTGGATGAACCATGCATGCGTTTATGAAGGAGCAGAATGTGATGTATTTATGATAATCGCATTAATGTGTCAACAGCCCCGTCTACACTGGGTGACATGCGTTTGCCAAAGCTCGACACGCCACCCATATCTGACAGATCATGGAGCGTGCGGTGTCTACCCCAAGTCGCGCCCTCATCTGTGAGTGGGCCGACGCCCATACTCTCGGAAAAACCTTCCGCGGGCCCTCAGCGCCGATCGATAGCCGGCAGCTGGCCCGCTTCTGTGGGTCACGTCAGCTGCGCGTCGGCGGCGGCCACCCGTTCAGATAGGTGCCGCTCTCCGGCCACCTGACATCGGCGGCGGTTCATAAAGGACGCTACCAGCCGCTGGACGTGCCCCTCATCGGCCGTCTGCGCAACGGTCCCCGGCCGACTGGGCAACCTCCGACGGGCGGACAGCGAGCTCGCCAGCCGACAGGGACGGCCTCCGACAGAGCGTCCGACAGTCGGCCGACATGTCGGGCTTCAGCCTGCTCCTGCTCCTGGCCGGCCTGGCCGCCGCCGCGGCCGACACGCCGTTTACTGACTGCGGTATGTTGACCTCGGGGCGTACTGACGTCACAGAGGTCAGTGGGCACGCTGGTGGAGAGGCCCCGATTATTGTATCAAAAGAGACGGACCTACCAGAATGCCCCCTGATTTGAGTTTCCTAAAACGAGTAAGGCAGCTTCCAGCCTCAAGAAGTCCCAAATAATTGAAAGATTGCAATTTTTGTCTTCTGTCATCAACCGTCGTGCCATTGACAGCCATCATGAAGACACCACTGGCGCATATTAAAGCTTGCTAGCCTTGCTTTTGCATAAAGATGGAACTTGCGGAAAAAGATTCTTGATGAAAAAGTTTTTCGATCATGATTGAATTAAATATACGTTTGAATATGCATTTGAATATACGTTTGAATACACGCTTGTGAATACACGCTGTGTGAACATACGTTTGAACATGCGTTTTTTGGATATCCGTTTGAATATACGTTGAATGCAAGTTTGAGATTGAATTGAATATACACCGACTAAATGTAGTAGGAGGCGAGCACTTCATGCCATCTTCACATCGCCCCGATCGGACATCGACATTACCTAGCACCGACAGTGCAGTGCGTTCCGACGCCGATCTGATGCCCCTACAGAATCTGCACCTTTCTTAAGGTCCAATCTGAAGTTCAAAACAGTCACCGACATATAGCCTGGGGGTTTTCTGACGGGCCATACTAGGTGGCTTCCTTTAATGGAGTACATCCCGTAAAACAGCAGACGGGCTGTAGAACACTGCACGCCGTTGAAGTTGTCTTGAGGACATATTCATTTCCAATCATCGGATTTCTTATGTTTCATTTCACTCTGAGGTAACGAAACCTGCCTCACCCTGGAATTTAGTAGCGTGTGCAGCTCAGCTCTGCTGCAGCGCCCGTTTTCAACAGATGCGTCATACGCCGAAGATAACTGTTGGATATAACCTGTCAAGACAGCCACAAACAGATTGGCTGTCTTTGTTTTGATCAAGCTGAGTTTGTTGCAACTATATCCAGGGCAGGACAAGCCATCACCACAAGTTCTCACCAACATATGAGGGATGACTGTGTTATGCACCGCTCGATCTATGGAAGCATGTGATTTCCTTGGTCTTCGAAACACGAGAAGACGGTACTGCCACTCGTTGTCCAACTCCGCTCCAGGAAGTAAAAAAGCATTGTGACTGCAGCATGTATATGATCGACAAAGTAACATGGTCCGTAATTTGTTTTAAAGAAAGGACAAGTAAGACTGGAAAACGCTTGGGAAATTCAGGTTTCCCCAAATGCTATGAAAATCACCTTGGCTTTTCCAAGCTTTCCCCTATGGAGCGCCTGCTATAAGCCATCGCTTAGGGAAACGTTGAAATTTCTCCGAGTTTCTCCGATCATCATGCTTGGTATGTGCTTGGGGAAGTCATTCTTAGTGCAAAACTGCCATAGGCAACTCGAGAAACGCTGAAATTCCTTGGCCAACTGTTTGGGGAAAAGCTGGGAGCTCCCGATTGGGATCTTGCATTTTTAGTTCGTGTGAGCATGACTGTGTGTGAGCATTTAGTGTGAACGTGCCTCAGTTGAGCTGTGTATTCACCATACACAGCTAAAAAAAAAAACGCTCCAGAGGCTTCCACTGTGGAGAATATTGGGAAACGTACCTGGACAGAACGGGAAACTCAGCTGAAGTGGCTCAGCTTTAGGTCTGATCCCATTGATTTCCCATTTCTCCAGCTCACAAAGTCGGAGAGCCGTCGGGGTATCACGGTTAGAATAGGGGGACAGTTTCTGGTTAGAAAGGTGCTAACCGTAAAGCAATCTGCTTACCTTTCCGCTTGTCCCGAGCCATTATCGAACTTTCTTATTACTGAACTCACTTGGCTCAATTCAGCCTCACAGATAAAGCCTTTGGTCTGTTTCACCGCTCTGTGTCGGTCAGCCGGCTGGCAGAGCGTGCCTCACCACCCTGTGTCGGTCAGCCGGCTGGGAGACCGTGCCTCACCACCCTGTGTCGGTCAGCCGGTTGGTAGAGCGTGCCTCACCACCCTGTGTCGGTCAGCCGGCTGGCAGAGCGTGCCTCACCACCCTGTGTCGGTCAGCCGGCTGGCAGAGCGAGCCCACCACCCTGTGGCGGTCAGCCGGCTGGAAGAGCGTGCCGCACCACCCTGTGTCGGTCAGCCGGCTGGCAGAGCGTGCCTCACCACCCTGTGTCGGTCAGCCGGCTGGCAGAGCGAGCCCCCACCACCCTGTGGCGGTCAGCCGGCTGGGAGACCGTGCCTCACCACCCTGTGTCGGTCAGCCGGCTGGCAGAGCGTGCCTCACCACCCCGTGGCGGTCAGCCGGCTGGCAGAGCGTGCCTCACCACCCTGTGTCGGTCAGCCGGCTGGCAGAGCGTGCCTCACCACCCTGTGTCGGTCAGCCGGCTGGCAGAGCGAGCCTCACCGCCCTGTGGCGGTCAGCCGGCTGGAAGAGCGTGCCTCACCACCCTGTGTCTGTCAGCCGGCTGGCAGAGCGTGCCTCACCACCCTGTGTCGGTCAGCCGGCTGGCAGAGCGTGCCTCACCACCCTGTGTCTGTCAGCCGGCTGGCAGAGCGTGTCTCACCACTCTGTGTCGGTCGGCGGCAGGGTCCAGCAGCACCATCAACACCCTGCAGCTGACCGGCTGCAATGAGGTGCCCTGCATTCTGCACAGGGAAAAGATCTGGTGATGGACACCGACATCACCGCAGGTCAGTCGAAGGGAAGGATGTTGTGCGCGGCAGCCTTGGTCTGCGGACGTCTACACGAGAACAACCAACACTGAGCCTCTGAGGGCTCCTGGCCCCTGGCGCCCTGATCCCAGTGATATCGGAGCAGATTTTGCTATCGTGTGTGCTTTCACCTTATAAAATGGCATTAGCACAGGTTGGATGACAGTATGATTGAATGTGTTGTTGCATCCCTGGCCGTTTGGGCATACATACGCCTGTAGGAGAGCCGGCTGTTCAGAAAGGCTCCCGTGTTCTTCACGGAGGGGTGGACGTGTAGCCAGATCACCGTGTGAAGTACATCGCGACTGATCGTGACTGACAGAATCGGAGAGCGTCTCGACCCCTCTCTGTGCGGCTCTGTTTTGTTGAGCCTGCAGCAGGCTGCGACTAGGTTGGTTTGTTCAGATGGAGCGGGTCACAGACACGTGACTACCTCCTCCCCCCTCCCCCACCGACAGCGCGCGGCCGGCGCTACGCAGACGCGTTCACCGAGCGTGCATTTTTACATCTAGCGGTGCAGTTGCATGCACTATCACTTCACTTGTCGCTTTGACGTTGGAGGAACAGCAAAAATTGGACTATGGAGAGGGCACATGCATATAATATGTGCCTACGAAGAAATCGTAACCCAAGTTTACCTGAAACCTGAGCTAAATACACTTATATATATATATATATATATATATATATATATATATATATATATATATGGATATATATGTATATATATATATATATATATATATATATGTATATTATGTATATATATATATATATATATATATATATATATATATATATATATATATATATATATATATATATACGTCGGCAACCAAGTATCTCGCTCTCTTAACCTGACCATTTATTCATCCTCGTGTACACCAGAGGCACGTTCTCTGTGTTGTGCGTCGGCTGATGCACTTGCAGACTTATTTCATCATATGAGAACTGCGTCTGCTGATTCCAGCTTCGAGCATCTCCAGCTTGACGTCGGAAGTTCAAGGCATCATCAGTGGCATTCCGGTGCCCTTTTACAAAGACGACAAGGTTCGTAGCAACGCCACGGGCCGGCCCCGGGTATTCACGTCCCCTACCACATGCCAAGACTCGTCCGTTTCGTCAGGCAGAGACCTCCCTCGTCCGTCTGAACGTGTGTGTGTGGGGGGGGGCGGAGGGGATGCTTATTTTGCGTGTCACCACCAAACCAACGCTTGTTTTCGGCCAATGGGCCACGTCTAACAGTGCCAGACCACCTTAAAGGACTGAGCCATTTGTGGCCGCTTGCGGTTCATCTCGAGGTCTGTGTCCCGTGTAGCCATTCCCCGCCGCTCTCGAGGTTTGTGTCCTATGTAGCCCTTCCCTGGCGCTCTCGAGGTTTGTGTCCCATGTAGCCCTTCCCTGGGGCTCTCGAGGTTTGTGCCCCATGTAGCCATTCCCTGGCGCTCTCGAGGTTTGTGTCCCATGTAACCCCTCCCTGGCGCTCTCGAGGTTTGTGTCCCATGTAGCCCTTCCCTGGCGCTCTCGAGGTTTGTGCCCCATGTAGCCCTTCCCTGGCGCTCTCGAGGTTTGTGTCCCATGTAGCCATTCCCCGCCGCTCTCGAGGTTTGTGTCCCATGTAGCCATTCCTTGCCGCCCTCGAGGTCTGTGTCCCATGTAGCCATTCCCTGCCGCATGTAGCCATTCCCTGCCGCTCTCGAGGTTTGTGTCCCATGTAGCCATTCCCTGACGCTCTCGAGGTCTGTGTCCCGTGTAGCTATTCCCTGACGCTCTCGAGGTCTGTATCCCGTGTAGCCATTCCCTGACGCTCTCGAGGTCTGTGTCCCGTGTAGCCATTCCCTGACGCTCTCGAGGTCTGTGTCCCGTGTAGCCATTCCCTGCCGCTCTCGAGGTCTGTGTCCCGTGTAGCTATTCCCTGCCGCTCTCGAGGTCTGTGTCCCAGGTAGCTATTCCCTGCCGCTCTCGAGGTCTGTGTCCCGTGTAGCCGTGCCCTGCCGTCCTCGCTGAGACATGCTTGATTTTGTCTCAGGCGTGCGACAGCCTGACTTCGGCATCGTGTCCCCTGGCGAGCGGCGACACCTTCGCCTACCAGGTGTCGTTCCCCGTGCTGAAGGAGTACCCGACCATCCCTGTGCTGGTGCGCTGGGACCTGGTCGACGAGGCGGGCGGCGTCGTGGCCTGCGCCGAGATCCCCTGCAAGATCCAGTGATGGGCGGGGTACTATCGCGCAGCTGTGTGGACAGTACCCGACCGAGGGCGGCGCACTGTCGCACTACTGCGGCGACAGTGCCTTACCAAGGGCGACGCACTGTTGCGCATCTGCGAGGACGGTGCCTAGCCAATCCAAACCAGCAGGCAGTGGACAGGGAGACTAATGCACGCATCCTCTATTGTCCCGGAACTGTCAAAACATCTGATCTGAAGATAGGACGCTTGATTTGATATTGATTCCGTATTTATTGCGCAGCTGAATCTGTGTATGCAAATACACCGCGATCACGCCTTGTCTTTTTTGCAGCCAAGCGCGGTCTCGTCACTTCTTTCAGCACTCCGCAAGAATAAAACACGTGCGCGAGTGTACTACAAACATATATTTGCGAAAATATGCGACGGAACAGTGGTGGGGCCGCCGTAACACAGCCGACGTACCGACGGAGCGGCCTCTCAGGACCCCACACGCTGCAGGACAGCCTCCCGCCGCTCGCCGGGAGAGCTGCGACCTGACCTGACCTCGACTAGCTACACTCGACGCTCAACCGCAGAAAGCACCCACTACGCCCGCACCACCAGAAACAGAACAGATGTCGACAGAGCGGGCTGCAACGCGGCGGAAGCCGCTAAGGCATCGAAGCAGAGCAGCTGGCGTCTAAGCCGGCCGGGCCATCGGTTATATTGTACACAGATACTAGCGGCGTTGTCCCGAAGCGAAGCGAAGAATGACAAGTACACGGTACGCACGTCACCTGATCACGTTTACCTCTGCTCGAGAGCACTTCCATCACAGATGTCACACCGTACAGCCTTCGGTCGTCTCGCTCCGACGTCGACCGCCTCTCCCGAGTCGGTAAGGACGGCGCCAGCGCCACCTCTACATGGGCGGCGCGCCTCCGGGGTAGTTCAGCATGGTCTGCACGCTGGCGGCGAAGTTGTTGGAGCCGTTGCTGCAGTCGGCGCCGGACTCGCAGACCGGGTACAGGGCCAGGACGGCCAGGCCGAGCAGAAGCAGGGCCTGCACGGGCAGCGCCACCCGAGCCACGCGCCACAGGAGGCCAGCGGTCCGCGCCAGCATGCTGCGTCTCTCCTCGTCGTCCGGCTGCGACACGAGCGTTGCGTGTCAGCCACGACATCCACATGCACCCAGCACGGACGAGTGTGGCAGGCACAGAACATCAAAGTCCAATGTGCCGCGCGCGAGTGTGACATCGACAATACGGGCGCAGTGTCATTCTCTCTGACGGTGTGACAGGGGCCGTGCATAAGTCACAGTTCAATGTCTCCCTGACGGTGTGGCAGGGACCGTGGATAAGTCATAGTTTAGGTCTCTCTGACGGCATGACAGGTACCTTGCATTCGTCAAAGTTTGGTGCCTCCCTGACGGTGTGACAGGGACCGTGCATACGTCACAGTTCAACGTCTCTCTGACGGTGTGACAGGGACCGTTCATACGTCACGACTGAATGTCTCGCCGACGAGCGTCAAGAAAGTAGTCTTGCGTGGTCCCCCACGCAGCCTCGGCACACTGCGCGGGGGGGGGGGGGGGGCTCACCAGCGCGCCGTCCGGCTGGTCCTCGTCACCGGCGACGGAGAGCAACTGCGACTGCAGCGCCACCAGCCGGCCGGAGACGGCGTCCCACTGGCTCTGCAGCTCGGCCAGCCGCTCGCGCACCGGTCGGCCGCCGGCGGCCGCCGCCTCGGGCAGCTGGCGGCCGGCCAGGCAGACAGGCCGTCACCAGCTCGGTGTGCGCCTCCAGCTCCACACACAGTCGCTGTCGACACACGACGCTCCGGTCACGCAGCGGCCGGCTCGCGCGGTCGGGCAGGCGTCGGGGCAGTCCACGCAGCGCAGCCGCTCCATACGACTCGGGTGGCCGGTGCGCAGAGCAACACGGCTTCGGCAAACGAGGGACGCGCAATGAGACGGGAGCTCTTCCGTCACATGGGCAAGCACGATCAAAGAACCGCGCCTGGTGACTCCACGACAATCCGCTCAGCATGCTACCAAGCCACGCACACACACACAGGCACACCATCGCCGCCACTCACGTTGAAGCGGCGTAGCTGGACGTCGTCGCGGCGCAGACGGTCGGCCGGCGGCATGGCGTCCAGCTTGCTGGCCGTGTGCTGCAGCCACTGCTGCAGCCGCCACCGGTCCAGCTCCCACTGCATGGGCGCCCGCTCGCTGTCATGAAGGCGGCCGTGCGCCGCCCCCCGCAGCGTCTCGTATCGACGACGCACGGCGGGCACGCGCTCCTCGGTCGGTCCTGCCCGCTGCCGGCTCAGTGAGTCGACTAGGTCGGCGGCGCTGGCGCAGGCGCCCAGCTTCTGCGCCAGCTGCGCCAGCGGCGGCGCCTCGGCCGCCAGCAGCTGCTCCAGCTCCGCCAGCGACGCCTCGGCCTCATCCATGGCGCCGTCCAGCTGCGCCACAGACGCGTCCGCCGCCTGAGGAGGAGAGGAGAGGGCGGGTCGGGTCAGAGAACGTAAATGTATCCACCGTAAAGGAATAATAGCGGGCCTGGTCACACAGACGCCACTATGGCAGGTCAGGTGGCAAAGATCCGCACGAAACGCAGGCGAGACGCGTTTCTGGCAAGGCCACATAATATGGTCTGACAATAAGTACCAACACCACGTCAGGTATCCAGACAGGCCCAATGGCACATCTGGTAGAAACGCAGCACGCGAGTGAGTTTGATGAGGTCAGACTGAAGAGACGGCAGGAAGATGGCCCAGGCCACCTCACATCGAGGAGGAACAAAATCACCTGGAATGGGTCGCCTCAGCCTTTGCCGCTTCAAATGTTTGACCCTGCCCCAAGTCTGCCGTCTGTAGAGGACCCCGTTCCCCAGCTTGGCTCTCAGCACCGCCGCCTGGTCGGGGCGCCGTCCACTGACCTCTGTCTCCGGGTGCCCAGCAGCTGCTGCAGCTCCGCCAGGCCGTCGCCGAGCCGGTGGTAGGCGGCCGGCGGCCGGAGGTCGTACGAGCTGGCCTCCTCGGGCGCCGTAGTCTGCAGCAGGCTGACCGTGTCGCGCACCGCCTGTCCAGCTGGCCGGCGAGCGCCGCCCGCTCAGCCTGCACCTCCTGCCGGCGGCAGCAGCGCACACCCGTCAGGCGGCGGCCCGCCCAGACGGTCCGGCTCAGACGGCCGGCTGACGTCAGGCGGCGGCCCGGCTCACACGGCCGGCTGACGTCAGGCGGCAGTCCGGCTCAGCGGCCAGCTGACGTCAGGCGGCAGCCCGGTTCAGGCGGCAGCCCGGTTCAGGCGGCCGGCTGACGTCAGGCAGCGGCCCGGCTCAGACGGCCGACCGACGTCAGGCGGCGCCAGGCTGACATCAGGCGACGGCCCGGCTCAGACGGCCGACCGACGTCAGGCGGCGCCAGCTGACATCAGGCGACGGCCCGGCTCAGACGGCCGACCGACGTCGGGCGGCGGCCCGGCGAACAGGGCGGGGGACCAGACAGCATGATGGCATGACTTTCGCTAGCCGTTGAGTACCTGAGCATCCCCGGTTACGGCACAGTGACACCTGTCATGTTACCGCTCCAAAGACCATGTGAATATCATTCCACCGGGCAGGCGCGGTGTGTCTGCCACGGCGGCGACACCAGCGCCGCTGCGGCCCGGCCCGCCGCGCCACTCACAGCCAGCTTCGCGGGTCCGTCCAGAACACCTCCGGCGTTCGCCTCCAGCTGGAGCAGCCGGGTCGTCTCGAGCAGCTGGTCGGCGCGCCGCTCCAGCTCCGCCCAGTCGCCGGCCGTGTGGCGCTGCACCGCCGCGTGTCGCTCCATGCGCGTCGCGGCGCGCTCGGCGCGCGCCTGCAGCGCCGCCCAGCGGCCGGCGGCGGCGACGCCGCGCTCGGCCAGCGGCCCGGCCGGCGCCAGCTGACCGCGCCGCAAGCCGTCCAGCAGCAGGCGGCGCGCGGCCTGGACGGGCGGCGCCAGCTGGCGCAGCTCGTCCGCCGCCTGGCTGGCCGCCTCCAGGCCCGGCTGGACGCTGTGGCGCGCCACCAGGCCGGCCGGCGGCTCGGCAGCCGTCAGTCGCTGCTCGGCGGCCGACAGGCGCGGCTCCAGCTCGCGCAGCTCTCGGCCCAGCTGACCGGCCGTGGCCCAGGCCTCGGACACGCGCTGCCGACGGCCGGCCGACGCGTCGCAGATGTGGCGCCACCTGTGAGCGAAGGAGGCGGCGTCAGCGTGAGAGTCCGGTGCAAGGTTCGCCAGCGGCATAAATTAATTCCATACCTACGTTAACATATACAAACATACTCTTGACGTATAGGAATTGCATGCATCCAACGGCCATCGAAAAACAGCAAGGACGGTTGGTAGCCAGCAGCAGCCGACACAGACAGCCTCGGATCCCACTGCTGCCCCTGACCCACTAACCTTTCTTGAAGGTGTCCGCCGCCCTGGGTCACCGACAGCACCTCGCGGGCCTCGGGCAGTCCATCCGTGTCGCTCATTAGTAAGTCACACAGGCCGGAGATGTCGCCCATCTTCTTACTCACATCCCGTACCAAGTCGAGCATTTCCTGCAAAGGCCGGGCTTCGTCAGCACAACCCGCGAGCGCGCCCATCTTACGGTATCATCAACGGACACCAATATTTGCGTACGAAAGGCGTCGGAGCCCCACCCAAGACAGACGGCCTCAAGTCAGCCGAACTATCACACCAAACCGACTGTACGCCAACGTGTGCCAAGGGACGGGCGAAGCATCGAAACGGCCTCGGACAGCAGACGATTTCGGCAGGGGTTAGTCCGTCATAGCTCACGTCGTTTTTCTTGTTGGCCGCCTGGTGTTCCTTCTTGTCGCCGGTCTCGAACTGGACCGGCTCGTCCAGCGTCGCCTCGATCTTGGACAGCTTGCCGTCCAAAGCGGGCGTCATTTGCTCGAAGTCAGCCACCGTCTGTCGACCCGAGGAGCGGTCAGGTCACACGGCGGTCAGGTCAGGAGCGGCCAGGTCACACGGCGGTCAGGTCAGGAGCGGTCAGGTCACACGGCGGTCAGGTCAGGAGCGGTCAGGTCACACGGCGAGCCGCACCGACCAGCGGGCAGCGGCCGTTATTCTGTCGCCACTGACGGCGAACAGTGAACATGAGCCGAAACCTGCTCGAAAGCTTGCCAGCCTTTTCATTAAACGCTGTTAGATGGCCTTAACAAGGCAGTACCGGTAAAACATGCTACGCAGTTTAAATGCTTCGTTATAGCTGTCTGCAGCAAAGTTGCCGTCCTCCATATTCGTTTGTGTTTCCAGCTTATTTTACAAACCATCTCGCCCAAAAACAGCCGCCACCCACAACCCTTCCCTTTTCACCAAACGTGCCAAGCGGAGGCAGCTCGCGGCGCCTGGCGGCGGCGCCGGGGTCGGGGCAGCGCCTCACCTCCAGGAGAGAGTTGATCTTGTCTCGGCGCGCGGCCCGCTCCGCCTCCAGCGGCGCCACGTCGCCGTCGGCGGCCGCCAGCTGCGGCGGCAGCTCGGTCTGCAGGTACTCCAGCAGGCTGCACAGCGACAGCTGGCCCTGGCCGCGCAGGCTGGTGCGCTTGCGGCCGCACCAGGCCTCGTGCAGCTGCTCCCTGGACGCGAGCGGACGGCGCGGTTAGCGGCGCGCGGCCGGAGGCAAGCGGGGTACGCCATCGGAGCGCGACGGACAGCGGAGCGTCATAGGTCAACAGCCACGCGCAGACCAGCACAACGTGCTGAGAGGAGTCAACATGCAGACGCGCCACCATCTGTAATGCCTTCGGCTTCCCGATGTCACCATCCGTTCCCCTGCTGTCACTATTCCTCAACTCTCCCTCTCCACAAACTGTGATGCTAATGCCTGCACACGGACAGACGGCCTCCTCCCGGCCGGGGGGCAGGCCTGTCGTCTCGTACCTGAGCTGCCGCAGTTTGCGGCCGCTGCGCTCGTCCGCCTCGCGCTGTCCACCAACGGCCAGCAGCAGGCGCAGCAGCAGCAGGCGCGCGCGCTGCTCCGCCACCGCCTCGGTCGCCGAGCGCACGTCCTCCGACAGCAGGGCGCCGCTCAGGGCCACCATCTGGCGGTCGGCCTCTTCCAAGCGGCGCTCCAGCTGTCCCAGCCGCAGCTCAGCCTGGTCCGGCGGCGCGGCCAGCTCCCGCTCCAGCGCGTCCAGCCCGACGGCTACCTCGGCCACCGCCGCCTGGTGACGCCGCCACGCCGCCGCCACGTGCGCCACGTACGCATCCCACGACGTGAGCGCGGCGTGCAGCTCAGCCAGGCGCCGCTCGAGCGGGCCCGACCAGCGCTCGGCCAACGCGCCGCCATGGCGGCCCAGCTCCGCCAGCAGCCGGGCGCCGCGCGGCAGCCGCTGCAGCAGCTGCGCCAGCTGGCGCTGGCGCGCCGGCAGCTGGCCGGCCGGCAGCGGCCGCCGCTGCAGACGCCGCCGCCTCCGCCTCGGTGCGCCGCAGCCAGGTCACGCAGCGGCCGAGCAGCGCCCAGCCCACGGCGGCCCTCTCGGCGCGCAGCTGCGCCAGCTGGCGCAGCACCAGCGCCAGGTGTCGGCGCAGCTGGTCGGACGGCGGACCGCCCGGTTCGGCTGCCGCCAGCGCCGCCGCCAGCTGCTCCCGGTGCACGCCGAGAATGGCCCTCGGCCGTCTGAAACGCGACGGGCGCAAGTCAGCAGCCGCAGGCTGGCCGCCTGGACAAACAGCGGCGACCAGGCACCATCACTCACAGCCACACCACATCAG